TCTCTCTCTCTATCTCTTGCTTTCTCTCTCTTCTGTACAGTAAAATTTCGCAGGCTGCTTCCATTTTTATCTGCCATTTTTTTTAATAATAATACTTGCTGCAAAAAAGACTCTTCTTTACTTCCTTTTTTTTACCAACTTTTTTTCCTTTCACCTATGGCTGGGATTAATGAAGTGAATACTAACGAATCGAAGGTAAATAATAATAATAATAATTAAAAAAAAATAAAATATTGCACTATTTGCTCCATTTTTTTCAATCTTTGAATTCAACATTTTTTGTTCATCATTTGGGATATTATTTTTCTTGGGTTCTCTCAATTCTTGGCTTTTAATTTCTGGGCTTGAGCTGATTTTGTAAGTAACAGTTGATTTCATGGTCAAAGATCGAATCTTTTTCTGTTTGATTTCAAAAGGCTTTGCTTGTGTTTGTTCGGTCCCCCTTTTGATATTTGCACTCTCCCTTTACTGATTTTGGGAGTGGAAACAAAATTGATTCTCTGTATTGTGTGTTGGGGTTTTATTTAGCTCTGCTTTGTTCAATTCCCCCAATTTTCCCTTACTTTTTATAGCTGCACATGTCTTCTCATTTGCAAACACTTTTTTTTACACACTTTCTCTTTGCCTTTCATTCTTGTTTTCTTCCCTTCAATTCAAAGTTCAAATCTTTTGTTTTTTTCTCTAATTTGTGCAGAGAGTGGTACCTCTCAACACATGGATCCTAATCTCAAACTTCAAGCTTGCCTACAACATGCTCCGAAAGCCCGACGGCTCGTTCGACCGCGATTTAAACGAATTCCTCGACCGTAAAGTACCCGCCAACTCAAACCCTATCGCCGGAGTCTACTCGTTCGATGTCATCATAAACCGCTCCACGGGCCTCCTCAATCGGGTCTACTTGCCTGCCCCCGACAATGGGCTTGGGCCCATTTACGGATTTCCCGAGCCCGATCAGCCCCTAAGCTCGACCGGGCCCGTGCCCGTCATCATCTTCTTCCATGGCGGAAGCTTCGTCCACTCCTCCGCCAACAGTGCCATATACGACACGTTCTGCCGTCGCCTCGTCGCCATTTGTCGGGCAGCCGTTGTCTCGGTTAACTACCGCCGCTCGCCGGAGCACCGCTGCCCAGCCGCTTACGAGGACGGTTGGGCAGCCTTGATGTGGGCCCGGTCGAGGCCCTGGCTGACAAGTTGCGGCGAAGGGGAGGCCCCGAAGGTTCGCGCCTACCTGGCGGGGGACAGCTCGGGCGGCAACATAGCCCACCACGTGGCGGCCCGGGCAGCCGAGGAAGGAGTCGAGGTTTTGGGCAGCATTTTATTGCACCCTTTGTTCGGCGGGAAGGAAAGGACCGATTCGGAGAAAAGATTGGACGGGAAGTATTTTGTGAAAATCGAGGAGCGGGATTGGTATTGGCGGGCTTATCTGCCCGAAGGGGAGGACAGGGACCACCCGGCTTGTAATGTGTTTGGGCCGAGGGCCAGACCTGTTAAGGGGCTCGGTTTTCCCAAGAGTTTGGTGGTGGTGGCCGGATTGGATCTTTTGCAAGACTGGCAATTGGGTTATGTTGATTGGTTGAGGGAAAACGGCCAAGATGTTCGGTTGCTTTTTCTCGAGAAGGCGACAATAGGGTTCTATTTCTTGCCGAACAACGAGCATTTTTGTTGCCTTATGGATGAGTTGACCGACTTTTTGCACTCGTGACGACGTTGTTTGACTTACTAATTTAGAAATGGTGTGTGTATGTATGTGTTATTAGTAATATATCGATGCGCGGTTATGTTTTTTTTTGTGATGAGAGATCATTCGCGGTTTGGCATGCGGATTGATGAAAAGCTCGATTTTCATGATTTTGAGGTCGGATTTCGTGTGGCCGACGGGTTTTTGTTTGAGTTCGACTAATTAGTACGGTGTTTTATGTGATCTTAGCTAAGTTAGGCTTTTGTTTGTCTATGGAAGCTAATTCAGTACATGGATTTAGGGAAATCCATTGTGCTGTGTGGTAGTAGACTAGTAGTATATTATGTATCTTATACTCTGCAACTTTGTCTAGGAATGTGGTACATTAGTACAAAGTTTTTCTTTTAGTTTGTGTTTGTATGTGAAATGCTGCCTACTTCAGTTTCCTTCATAATTTCAGTAACTTTGTATAGTACTACTTAGTAATTTTCAAGCACGGTGTCTTGCCTGGTGAAGAGTATGATGGCTGTAGTATATGATGAATTTGGTCTAGAATATAACTTGTTATTACAACTTCTAATGGAAACTACCCGAGCTCGTGCTCATTTTTAGCCCATTTCAATCACGAGTCGGGCTTGGCTTGAGAAGTCTCGGAAAGATAGTTTTTATATAGTTTTATATAGTTTGACTCGTTAAAGTTTGAGAAATGTTATTTGACAGCTCGTTAATATTGAGAAACAAGTCGAGTTGGAACTCGATTTGGTTTGTTTACTTAATTCGTTCGACTCGTTAAAGGCTCGAACCTGCCTCGACTCGTTTACAGTGCTAGTTGTGATAACCTAACATATAGGTTGGGAAAAATTGACTATAGTAAGTGAATTAATTGTAAAATGGGTAAAGAAAATTGTGTCTCACCATGAATTAACATATCATAATTTCACCACCTTAAAGCCAACCAAAATAAAGGGTACAATTAATCTTTTTTTTTTCCTCCTATTTTCTTTGTTAGAGAAAATTTGAACAGCGTTTTAAAAGTGGTGGACCATTCGAGTCCCGTTGCAAGCTTGCAACCCCCAAAAACTAAGACTAAAGCCAAAAAGAACCCCGTTCGCCAACAAAAATATCACAAATTTCTTTACTTTTTTTTTTTGTTTACTTTTCCTATTTTTATAAGGTAAAAAACAAAAGGATTAGATATGAGTTCAAATAATATATAAGTTGATTTGATTAATTATTTGATGTATAGTATTTTTTTTTTTCTCTTTTAGAGCATCCACAATTATCGGTCTAATTTTATATGGTTGTTATAAATAATAATAACTGGCTTAAATTTTGAATAAATGTTAAAAAAAAAATCAAAGGATAAATACAACATGCTAATGTGGACACGAATTAATATATTCACCAATTGATTTGAACAGAAATTCTTGTGTTTTTTTTTTATCAAAATCGACCGATTTCACAAGATTGTTTGAAATTTTTTAAAATTTTATTTGGAAATGGGTCAAAAACACCCTCAATGTTTGTTGTAAGGTACATATATGTCCATTAAGTTTCTTTAGGTGCAAATATATCATTAAAGTTTGCTACTATTAATTTATATATCTCCAATGTTTGTTGTAAGGTACATATATGTCCATGAAGTTTCTTTAGGTGCAAATATATCATTAAAGCTTGCTACTATTAATGTATATATCATTGCTACCCGTATGGGCTTTAAACATTTTGTCCCATTACGCCACTCAATTCATTGTTTCATGACGATAAAAAATACTTGCATGACAAAATCTATCGGACTTCATCAACATTGTAAGCAAATTTTCCTAAATAAATAATAATATTTTCAGTTTATTTTTTTAATGTCCTTTTAAATTATTTGTTGAGTATTCTATTGTTCTATCAATCTAAAATCTAAGTGAAATTCTTTTTTT